GGAGAGAGAAGGAAGCGAAGGTGAGGAAGCCTGCACCCTGAAGGCCGTGGTCAGAGGAGAAGGTTGCTGTGATGGAACCTGCAGAGCAGCTGGCCGTTTACAACGTGCTTTTGCTCTCCCAGTTCCGGGTCCAGGGGTAAGGTGCTGAGAAAGGTGGCTGTGGCCTTGCGGGAGCTCACATGGCCAATGAGGGAGGGCGATGGGACAGGACACGGTCCTCAACCCACAAGCAGCTCCTGTTGTAGCTCCCAAACTGAGTCCTTCTGTGGGAGAGGGGCACCCGGAACGCAGGTCCTGCAGGTCCCTCCCAGCACGTGGGGATCCTGATGACCGTCTGCCTGCAGGTTCTGCGGGGAGGGTGAAGTCTGATTTCACCAATTTGGGTAACCCCCACCCACGCCCCGCCCATGGAGCTGATGGACACCTCCTGGGGCAGCAGGAGTGGCCCAGTCCCCCACCATGTGGCCTCATAGTCACTGTTGGGATTTTACAGATATTTCTTTTTTCCCATAGAAAAAAAAATGCAGCCTTATTTCTCTGTTATTTTTTAAACCTCAGCACAAGGTTTTTCAAATACGAACTTAATCTGCAGCCTACCTCAGTGGCCCCCATCTCCCGGGAAGGGACCCCCCTGCCCCTTGGTGATGTGCAAGCCTGTAACCCCTGCGGGAAGGGGGGACCCACCAGCCAAGAAGATTCACAGGATGAGAAAATCTGCTCATGAGGCGAGAGCGCCCCCTGTCTTCTCTTGGTTGGACTCCGAGCTGCCAGGACGTCCTGAAGGGGGGTGTCAAGGACAGATTCCCTGAACAGTCAGCAGCAGGAAAGGATGGAGGCCTGTGTACCTGCCAGGGACACGGACGGGGCAGCAGACACACCCATCCAGGAACTTGAGGTGAAATGAAATGAAACGAAGCAGAACAACAAAACAAATTCTTGGCAATTATCTGGCTTCCTCCTGGCTCCAACTTTTCTTCCTCCTATGCTGATTGATTGGCAGGCGCTCTGTCAAAACAAACAAACAAACACCCCTCTGGGGTGGTGACACTCGAATAGGCTATGCTTCAGCTGAAAGGACAAAAACACTTAAAAAAAAATGTTTAATACTTTAAGCAATAAAAAAAAAAAGAAAGAAAAAATGTTAGTACACATCTAGATTCCAGTTTATCTAAAAAATAAAACTGGAGTCTTGACTCTATTTCCTGCTGTTTTCCTACACATTTTTTTTTATTATTATTCACTGAAGCTTTGCAGTTTATTTGCTCCAGACTTTATCTGGCATGTGATACCAGAGCAGGGGGAGCAGGATTCCTCCCTTAAACCTTTGTGCAGCAAGGTCTGGGTGGCCAACATGGTGCTGAGCCTGTGAGGGACCCACATATGCACACACACAAACACACACACACACACCTCAGAAAGCTCACAGAAAAACACTTTCTCACTATGATAAATTATTTGGCCATTGAAGATTCTGGGCACAACACTAGATAAGAGAAAAACAACCATCTAGACCCCTCCATGTGGCTCTGAGGGGAGGAGGGACCCCATGGATGTGGACAAAGGAGCCAGCCCTGGGAAAGATGGATAAAAAACAACAACAACAGGGGTTACCCCCTTCATACCTGCCAACACTCACCCACCCTGTGCCCCTCGAGGAACGGGTCGCACAGGTGGAGACCTCCCACACTTAGGCAGGACCCCCTTGCCTGCACCAGACCTACCCCTGGGCTTCTCAAACTTCACAATGAACTGGAAACTCAGGGCATGAAGAGAGGGAGACCAGCCCCAAACACGTTCCAGCTGCTCTTTGTGCTGCACCCAGGACAGAGTGCAACACCATTTAGACCAGACCACGCAATGTCACCTCCCGCCAGTGAGACGGTCCCATCAAAGGGCACATGGACCCCACCCTTCAGGGTCTCTGGAAAAGCAGAGGCAGCTGGCCCTGCTGGGAGACCTGGAGGAAGGAGGCAGGCTCTGCGGGTCTCTAACGTCTCTCCCAGGCAGCTCTCCCTGTCCTTCATCGTCGTTTAGTTAAATAGAAGAGAGCAGAGGAGCACTATACACTATACGTAAGAGTGGCATGGTTACATGTACATGGTAGCGAAGGAAAACATCCCCTTTGCTGAGGCGTCACAGAAATAGGAAAAATGGTGCTTTCTGGCAGAGGCTCTCAGCAGGAGAATCAAGGCATAGAGTTCCCTGGATGCATCTCTGTCTGCACCAATGAATTCACATCTCCGGAGGTGGGGCCCGGGCAGCCATACCTCCTTGGAGACACGCACACAGGTCTTAGAATCACTCTGTCAAGGACAGTGGCACAGTGTGGGTTCCCACTAGCCACCCACGGGAAGGAATCAGCACAATGTGGTGGTCAGGGGCTGTGCTGAGGCCTGAGATCCGCTGGTCATTAGTTCCCAGGGCGCAGGAGGAATGCTCCCCGAGAGGGAGGGCCCGGAGAGGCCTGAGCCGGTGGAAGCTGCTGATCAGAGTGAGGGGCCAGGTGGGCTCCAGAACCCCCGCTGCTCAGGGACGTGGGTGCTGATGGGAAGCACAGAGACCTGTAACCCACAGCACGGCTGGGGTCTGTCGAATCCAGTAACAACATAGGCTGTATGCCCAGGGTTTTCATTTCACTTTTCAAGTGAATTCATTTTACTGTATTTTACACAAGTATTGGTTCATGCATGACCAATAGTATGTTACAAAGTAAGTCCTGCTGCCTCTCAATTGAGCATGAGAGGCAAGCATTCAGAGGGCAAGGGAAACCATGGCCTTCTCCATGGGAGGACACATGGCCCACCCACAGGTTGTCACTGCCATCTCCACGATGCGGCCATGGCTATCTGAGGGTTGAAGGTGCAGCCTGGGTCTGTGACGAAGCCCCTCCCCTGTGCCCCCCAGGCCAGTGCTACCCTAAGGTGAGGACTGAAGGCTGGCTGGGTGGCAGTGTGGTGTCCTGGAGAGGTGAGGATGGGGTGACAGGGACAAGCCCAGGGCTACACAGATGAGGAGGGGCGCACAGCCCTCATTCATGAGGGGGAGTTCGAAGATTTCAAGCTGAGAGGAGGCAGCGGCTCAGAGGAACTTCCTTGCTGACAGGGAGCCAAGGCCAATAGCCTGGTGCATGAGGGAGTTTGGACAACGTGGGAGATAAAAGCAGTCACTGTAAAAGGGGCACAGAGGATGTGTCCTGTCTGCTCGGACACGCACTGCATTACCGAGGCCCAGTTTCTTCACCGCCCTGTGCCTGTTTACTCACCTGGAGATGGGAGCCATGCCGGTGCCATGGGACCGGGCAGCCATTAAGCACTCACCAATGTCAGCCTCATCTCAGCGGTGCCACCTACAGGGTCTTGGCTCAAGTCCCCGTATTCCTTACCCTGCCTTACCCTGCACACGGGCTGAGGGGAGCAGCAGGGGCGAGAACCCGGGATTGGGGTCTTGCCAGGAGAATCAATTGAAAGACAGCAGGTGAGAGGCTTTACCATGAGGGGCTGCAGGTTTGTGAAGCATGGGCCATGCAGCTGGAGGAGGCAGCAGGGGGACAGGGAGGACCGGAGGCCTAACAGCCTTACGTGGGTGAGTGAAGAATGAGGTCAAGTGACCAGATGCTGAGGTTGGTGCATTTGAAACCATCACAGCACACTTTTCCAGGTCCCATCTTGATGAGGGCCAGCATCTTATAAACACTGACCATGAAACCCCAGTCCAACAGGAAATCACCCATTTCCTGAGCCCAGTGGGGCTCTCATCCATGCACACATCAGCACAGGTCACCGCCTCCAGCCACCGCACTTCCTGGGGCACACTGAGATTTCCTGCGACCTTGCGGAACGCAGTGCTGTGAGGAGGGGCCTCAGTGGTCTCCAGCCGCACCTGCTCGGAGCACCCCCGGAAACCTCTGGAAGGCCCGACTGGATGTGCAGTGTGCCGAGGACACCTGCCTTCACCACACTGTCCATCACTCTGGACACACAAAGGGGCCGTGTAGCCTGAGACAAGTAGTTGTGTCACTCACTGGTTTGTAAGAATTTTTATAAACTTCCTTTTTAGTCTACACATAAGTTACATTTCAAGATACATAATGTTATTTGACAGCTTAAAATGTGTCATATGTTTAAGTAATATCAAAGAAACACATCTCATTTGGGAGTCTAAGTACATAGTATCAGCGTCAGAAATCGCAGACATAGTATCATTTGAATGATTTGACTGAGCCCGTGTCAGCACAGCATGAGAGCAGACTCTCTTCAATTACAATTCTCTCATCCATAACTTGGAACCTCAACTAAGTTCTGAATTTGCTGAACCAATGGATGAAATCATTTTCCATTGCCTAAATTTAGAAAATCCCAGAATGTGAAACTGTAGGAAGCACCTTTCCCCTTGAAAGTTCACACACAAACACTACATGATTTCCAAAGTTTATTAAAAATCAAAGAATAGAAAAACTTTACATAAAAATATGTCAATTTTGTTGTTTGCACACAAAAAAAATTGAAACATGATATCCTTTGTGACCACAGTGGTAGCCAGGCCAATTCATTCCTTCACCATGACGGGGTGGAGCATGGCACCTGTGCGTGTGAATCGAGCTTTAAAATGGGCACCCACGGGACACTGGCCGCCGTCCCTGCAGAGGTGTCCTTAGTGTATAGGGTTACAGTCAATATTGCTAATATGTAGAGATTAGTACAGACCTACATATCAGTTTTATAAATATCTCTTTATCAATAGGTTTACAATTTAAATATTTTTAAATATTCTGATAACTTTCGATCATTAAGAACTGTAGACAAAATGTGCTACTCTATTCTGGAATGCCTCCTAGGGAAGCTGCAGTCACAGCTGGCAGCTCTCAATGATAATGTGGGCCAGTCCTGCTTAAAACCAAACAGACCGTAGACATTTTAAAGCTTGTCCTTGCTGGGTGTCCATCACATTCAGATATCACTCAGCATATCAATCAGGTGTCATGGTAATAAGTTTCTTGTCTCAACATACTCCACTAGTGGACTCCAAAGGCCAACCTCCCTGTAGTGTTCAGCGGGGCCAATACCCCATGTTAGAAATGGGAAGTCAGACCTATGAGATGCAGCTAAATCCCAGGACAATTGTAGTGTTCCAAAAACTCAGGGTTAGGCAGGATGGATATATTCTTGTTCAAAAAAAGGTAACAAAGACAGTGGTTGTCATGGCAGAATACACTTGCATAGTATACCTGTATGCTTCTCAAGTTGGGCGCCAGCCCTCCCAGCCCGACACTGGGCTGTGCTCTCCTGCAAGCATTAGGAATACTCCCCACAGCGAGCTGAGCAGCTGAAGCATTTTTCCTATATTTGCTGAGCAGCTGAAGTACTTTTCCTATATTTGCTCTTAACAGAACGAATGCATACTGCTATACAGATTCCTCAATGGAATCAACATAATTCCTTTCTCCACATTCCTAAACTGGGCACCATTGTCCGTCATGATCTTCACCAGCCCCATCATTGCAGGCTGTTATTACTAAAGCTGACTGAAGCATGTAGTTCACATTTTTTTTTTTTTTTTATAATGTGACAACCTCTTCTCCCCTTAGAAAGTTATACTTCTGGCACTTTTAATGCTGGATTTGTTGTCTATTTTAAAAGAACCAAAAACCAAAACGTTAAAACTCCATGGTCAGAGCGAGACAACAGACAGGCTGGATGGCAGAACCGGCAGGCAGCTGGTCAGAAGACTCGGGGGCCAAACCCCTTCAGAAAACTAGGGGGCAACTCGGCTCCTTCATCATAAATTGAGAGGCTTCCCCTCTGACCCAAATAATAAACATAAAAATAAACCCAAGCCCCTCACTCCTGGTGTTTGCAACGGTGCTCACCAGACAACCAGCCAACCCTATGAACCCAACTTAGAAAAGCAACTCGGGAAAGGACCTAAGCTTGTTTAAAAAAAATTCCCTCTTCCCTTAAATATAACTTATGTGAAAATAGGAAATTAAATAAAAAATATCTGAGTTATTGCACAAATGATAAGTTTTCAATATTTACATAGAAAAACAGTTCTGAAACTTGAAACAAAACGTGAGGGCAGTAAAACAATGTGACCTCCATCCATCCACCGAGGAAGAGCCGATATGGGGTTGATCTCTGTGGCTCTGACAAACGTAAGATGAAAACACCCAACCTCGAAGGAACAGACACAGCTGAGAAACAAACGCCCAAGCCGACTTCACCCCCTGCAGCTCCAGGTCCAGACCTGCTTCTGGAAGGATCCTGGGAAGGCAGAAAACAGCGTCCACGTGGAATAAGGCTTCACAGATGAGCACAAGGAGCTGTTCTTTAAGATGGACGTGACCACCACACAAGGAACATGCAGAGTGATCAGCGGCAGGCGTTTGAGGGGCCCGGCTGATGTGCTGGATGCTGGTCTCAGTTCCTGCCAGGCGCCGAGGCCACCCGGGTCAGTCTGGGAAGGGCGGTGGCCAGGAGGCGCCACCAGGAGCTATTATCTGCTGAGACTGACAGGCAGGCTGTCCCTCGTGTGCGTGTGTTTTTTCCTCCTCCAGCTGGTACGGTTATACTGGTGGTGTCCTCGGTTGCCCACAGGGGGTCGCACACCTCCACTGCCCACAGAGCTGTAGCTGCCACCTTGGCTGTGGTTGTGAGAGCCTTTCATGGCCAGCTTCATGCCACTGTGCTGCTGAAGAGATAAGAGAAACAGCATGATGAAGAGTGGCTTTGGAACAAGAAACACCAGTGCCATGGGAGACTCGCCCATCCCAGCTCCTGTGAGCTCGGGGCAGTGAGCCTAAGCAATGAAGGACCTGGCTAGAGTGATGAGGGACAGTGATAAATGCAGCAAATACAGCCCGGGAGGGCCCAGGGGAACACTGGCCTCAGACACTATACCCTGTTCCTACTGGAAGATGCCAGTCACAGCTCTTTCAAACACCTTGGCACTTCACGAGCACAGGAACTTCACAATGGTCCGTTATCTTATTATGCAACAGTTTCTAATGTGTGGGATCTGGACTTAGATGAACCACAGGGAAATGGAGAAGGGCACTGGCAGGGACCCCGGGGCCTAGAAAGCAAATGAACTTTGAGCCCTGCCAGCCCACCTCGCCCTCTGCCAGGGTGCCAGGCTCATCACTGGGAGGGAGTGATGCTGCGGGAATAAAAAGCACTGCAAGGAGCCGCATCAATATCTGTTCTAAATTCTATTTGCTTCTTGAAAACCAAAGTTTTTAGCACGTAAATTGATACATGGGAAAACAAAATATTCTTCACTTACTTCAGTTTTATGCTAAAAATTTCACTAGACAAATTAAGAGAAATATATTTGGAAAGGAATTAAGCTACATTAAATTTTAAAATAATTTCTTAACACTTTTAAAGTTTTATTTGTTACAAGGGAAAGCAAACATGAAGCTGAATGACCAGAAAACAAATTCCCTTTTAAAAAGTCTCTAGAGCCCTGGCCAGTGTGGATCAGTGGATCGAGTGTCCGCCTGCGGACTGAAGGGTCCCGGGTTCAATCCCAGTCAAGGGCACATGACCTGGGTTAAGGGCTCAATCCCCAGGAGATCTCTCTCTCCCTCTCCTTTCCTCTCTGAAATCAATAAAAATATACTTAGCCCTAGCTGGTTTGGCTCAGTGGATAGAGCATCAGCCCATGGACTGAAGGGTCCCGGGTTCGATTCGGGTCAAGGGCACATGCCCAGGTTGCAGGCTCGATCCTCAGTAGAAGGTGTGCAGGAGGCAGCCGATCAATGATTCTCTCTCATCATTGATGTTTCTATCTCTCTCTCCCTCTCCCTTCCTCTCTGAAATCAATAAAAATATATTTTAAATGTGTGTATGTATGTGTGTGTGTGTATATATATATATATTTAAGTCTCTGGAATTCTCTCTTTGGCAGAGGTGGCAATTAAGCAACACCTATCATGAACCTGCTATGGTGGGTGCCAGGGGCCTGGGCCGGACGGGAGACCTACCTTATGATACAGATGAGGGCTGGAGAGCGGGTTAGGAGACGCGGATGGAATGGCCGGGGAAGACATGTGGTGCACAGCCTTCAGTGCTGAAGTTCCTTCAACACCAACTTGTCTGCAAGGAATGGGGGCCACAC